ATATTTCCTTCTTGAAAGGCTGTGGTATAATACTGCTTTCCAAATCTAACCAAGAAGCGTGCCTGAGTGGCTCAGTCAGTTAAGTGTCTGCCTTCAGCTCCAGCTCTAATCTCAGGGTCCTGGGATCTAGCCCCAAGTCTGGCTCCCTGTTCATTGGGGAGTCTGCTTCTCCCTTTCCTTCTGCCCCTCCCCATCACTCTTTCTCTCTCTCTCTCAAATAAATAAAATCTTTAAAAAAACAAAAACAAAAACCCAACCAAGAAAAAAGAAAATATAGCTGGTGGTTATGAATATCAATTTCTGCATCAAATGGAATTTAGTTTCTCTATAAGATGCAGAACAGCGATCTTCTCAATGCTTCTTTTTCCTACCTTCATCTAAAATAGAAATTCTACTACAATACAATGTTTTATGTTTTACTGCATAAGTGTTTGAATGATATCACATCCATACCTCAATTTTTCTGAAGGCTTTTCTCACGAGATGAAATATACTAAAGCCAGTTATCAAGTAAATATCTATTCTTCTAAAATGTGGACATATCACTTATATAAATCCAGAGGAAGAAGATGGGGTGAATTAAGGGAATATAGCTTTTTCAGTATCATCCAACACAAATGTAGTATGTTATGAAATCAATGTATTAGTTCCTGTATGTGTACTTTTGAAGCCTGCCCAAAGAGAGCAGCAGAATTTGACATTTCAGCAGTCTGGCTCCTGTGTCTTTCTCAGCTCTGAATTCTCTACAGAGCACAGAACAGCAAAGGGCCTCATATACATTAAGCATTATGATATCACTGAAAAAAAGCTGCAAAAGTTACCGAGTTTTTTCCCATTTAAAATTTTCAAAAGCTGTACAGAACTCCCTTCTCAAAATGGACTACCCACAGCTCCAATCATTTCCTTACATATTTTTAAAAGCTGAAACAACTATCAATTTTGCCATAATCAGGCTAAACTTTTGCACTCTTCATTTTTAACCTGCCAATTGTAAAGATTCTTCTATGTGACTCCCTAAAGTTACATCAGTGGTCAGTATTTAATTACCACACCTTAAATTTAAAATAAAATAAGACTATATGAAAACAGTATCTTCTGTTATTAGTCATAATGCAGAGCCTAATAAATTAAACTTAAAGGATTCTGTGTAACGCCCAGCATAACAACATAATAAAAGTAACAAAGCCCCAGGACCGGGATGGGACGCCTGGGTGGCTCAGCAGTTGGGCGTCTGCCTTTGGCTCAGGGCGTGATCCCGGGGCTCCCGGATCGGGTCCCACATCGGCCTCCCTGCATGGAGCCTGCTTCTCCCTCTGCCTGTGCCTGTGCCTCTCTCTCTGTGTGTCTCTCATGAATAAATAAATAAAATCTTAAGAAAAAACAAAACAAAACACCTAGGACCATCTTTCATTTATAATTATTATACATTTAATATACTTAAAAATTAACTAATGTATATATTATATATAACATGCTCTCTCCTTTTCCTTCAAGATCCTGAACACCAGCTAGCACTATTTAAGCTAATGCCTGATTTTTAATATTTTTCATTACCACTGTACACTAAGAACTATCTTCTCTTTGCAGTAACTAGCCAGTAACTGAAGATACTGAATCCTAACTTCATCTAACTTTAGATATAAAAAAAGAAAAAAATAATAAATAAATAATAAATAGAAGGGGAGCAACTGAAGATAAATACAAATGAATCTGATTTTTTTTAAGTCCATGCTGCTCTGTAATCACTGCCTGCCTGGTGGGTGTTAGATAAGGTCATCTAAGAGACCCATCACTGTTGAGATGCTTACAGTCACTCTTCTAAAGAGGCTTGACTATGACAACAATAGAGCTGAAAGACAGATCAATTATAATTTTCCCATTACTAATGTTTTGTAACACTTAAGTCATCCATAAAACACGTATCAGAAAAGATGCTCAGGACTTCAGCCTGAGAATCATATGACACTCGCTTAGTGTCAGTTAAAAAAAAAAAAAAAAACACAACAAAAAAAAATCAATAACAAAACTGCTCACCCTGGTGGTTCAGAAAAGTACTAGACACAAAATGACTCAACTATTTAGTAGTACATATGAAACTTTCAAATAATCACTGTTTTGAATCTGTAACAGACTCCTTTTTAAACTTCATGTTCCAGTAATGTTATGAGAAAAGTACCACCCCTCAAAGTACTTCAGATGGGTCTTTCGTCCTCTTATTTACTCATCCCATATTGGGGAGAGAGCATCATCTTGGGAAGGTTTTTCTGCTACAATGAAATACCAGGGTAAAATCTGTGAGTTTCCAATACTAACCACTAATTTACTGACCTAACAAAGAAAAGCAACATGCCCCATTCTAGCTAAAGAGAAAAAAATTCCCTCACAAGCTAATTCTCTTGCAATAAAGACCAATTCAAACAACACACTACACAGTTCTTAAAAGTGAAATAAAACACTGGCTGGCATATTCCTTTGTCTCAACAAGTTAATAAATTTTTAACTTTGGTAGATTTTTATTCTTGGGTAGGTGGGAGGAAAATATCACCTTATTAAACATACGGTAGACCATGCTTAGAGCAAAAAATGCTATGAAGATTGCTTTGATGCAGCTTCACTTTCCTCTTGTGAGAGTTCCTTTTGGGTTCAAGATGTGGAAGAGAAAGCATTTAGAGTTACTCCTTACAGGAGACAGAACAGGTGTATATACATAAAAGTAAACTGACTTTCTTTGCTTTCCAAAGCATCATTCGGGAAGGCTAACCATTCGAATCACATTTCGGAATGCTCATGGACACTATTTTTTTCCCCCCAACAGATAACCCCAGATCCAAAATGCCTTTGGTCCACTCAGCTTTATCTCACATAAATCATTTTGTGCTTTGGTTTGCCTCTAAAAAGAGAAATAGGTCTTACCTACCTACTCTTCTAGGATGGGAGAATTTTTTTTTTTTTTTAAATCACCTAAGATCCTTCGTGTTTCTTATAAATGGCTGGTATAAAACTCAAGGTGCTACACTATACTATTACCACCTTGTATCGTTTTACTGCTATTTCTGAATCAGGCCATGATATTGGCTTGAAAACACAAATCTCGGGGCACTTGGGTGGCTCAGTCGGTTGAGCATCTGTCTGCCTTTGGCTCCAGTAGTGTTCCTGGGGGTCCTGCTTCTCCCTCTGCCTATGTCTCTGCATGTCTCATGAATAAATAAACAAAATCTTAAAAAAAAAAAAAAAAAAAACTTAAAACACAAATTCTGTGGTCTTCCATCTTCGGTTACAATTTTTTTTTTTTTTTTTAATAATTCTGTCCCGATAACTTACCCCTCATACTCCAAAGATCTACTCCACTGATCCCTGGGCCTGAAAACTAGTGCCTCCTCTCCCAATTAAACAACTGATAGAAGCCACACCACCACTCTAGCTTCTCATTCTTGAGAGAAATGGTACTGTACAGCGTGCAAAATAAGGTGACGCTTCTCATCCTCTCTGCGCTTCCCACAACATAAAATCTGTGCAGTTACCTAGAAAAAAAATCTGAAGAATTCTGACAACAGGTTTGTGTCAGTAACTGTCATTAAAAAAAAAAAAAACATATATATATATGTATCTCAACCACGTCTAGAGCACAGAGAAGAAAACAACTTTACGGAGTTTGCAAGAAATAACCTGGCAGTCCTTGAGCTACGACCACGTTTGGTGCGGGCTGTCCCTTCCTAGGGCCTGTGCCATGTCTTTGAAGAAAAGTGGCCTGGGCCCAAGGCACGGCTAGGGCAGGTCCTGAGCCCCGTGGAGACCCTCCACGGCAACGTGTGCACCCAACACCGAATCGCTCATTCCAGACACACCCCCCTCCACCCCGCGTTTCAGAGGAGGTGTGGGCACTCAACTCCTTCACTGTGGATAGGGGGACAGGAGGGAGGGCGGGCCCAGGCCCGAGCACCCATTTTGGAGGACTGGGGAGCTCGGCCCCGAGGGCTGTGCGATCGCGAGTGCGGGAGTGAAGGGCGCCTCCGCGGAGGGGGGTGGGGGGACGAGGCCAGGTGGGGGCGGGGGTCGCCTCTAGTATTCGGGGCCGTGAGGAGGCAGGCGGCGGGAACTACTCCGGAGAGCGAGGTTCCCCAGTGTGAGCTGTGAGCCTTCCCTCCTGGTATTCGCCGGGAGCTGGCGAGGGTAACGGGGCAGACCCCTCGGGGCAGAGCCGGCGAGGGGGTCTCCCTCCCTCCCTCCGTCCCTCCCTCCCCCGTCTCGGGGGGTGGGAGGGCTCGCGGAAGGCCTCCTTGCAGCGGGAGGACAGTGACCGATAAGCCGTGTAAGCAGTGCGCGCCGGGGCACGGATTCCCGCAGCTCCGGCCCCGCGCGAGAGGCGTGGGACCCGGTGGGAGGGGATGGAGGAGGCCCCCCGGCCCGGGAGGCGGGAAAGGCCCCGGGGCTCCGGGACGGGCGGCGGCTCCGGAGCCCCGAGTGGTGGCGGCGCGGGCCTGGCGAGCCCCGAGCCGGCTCGAGCCCTCTGGGCCGCGGGCGCCCCCCACGCCCCCACTCTCCGCGGCCGCCGCCTCCCCCCCGCGGCTCCTCTCACCTGCACATGATCCGCCATTTTGCTCCATTCATGCTCCTCTCCGGCCCCCCCTCCCCCCCAGCGCGCACCTCGGCCGGGGCCGCTGCCGCCGCCGCCGCCGTCGCCGCTGCGCCTGCGCGCTGGGGGCTCGTCGCGCTACGCTCGCGGCGTAGCGCTGCTCGGCTGCGCAGGCCCCGGCGGCCGCGGCCGCGGTTGGAGAATGCGCAGCGCCGCTGGGACGGCGTAAAGGCGCGGGCAACGTCAGCGGCCCGGAGACGCGGGGGGTGGGAAGAGGGAGCGGGCCGGGGAGCGCGAGGGAGGGGGAGCCGGGGGAACAAAGCTTTGTTTACATGGTTTTTAAAGGGGCCGCGCCGGCTGCGGCGGGCGGGCGGGCGGGCGGGCGCTGGAGCGGGGCTTGGGGCTACCTGCCGCGGGCCGGCTTGGCGGCGGCTCCGGGAGAGGGGCCGGGACCTGTCCCCGCCCGGATCCCAGCACCTGGTGGACGCCTCTCTTCCCGAGTGTCCTTTCGACCTGCCCCTGGATGCCCCCCTCCGCACCCCAACCGTGCAAATGCTGTCCCATCACACCCCGACGGGTCTTCGCTGCGCCCTCCGCCCGTGTGTCGTCCCCCCCCCCCCACATACCCCACACTTCGGATGTCTGCATTATTATTTACTTTCCAATGAATTTCCAATTCGACGTCGACCGAATTTATGTTTGTCTTTCTAGTTTCCTGCTCCAGGGGATCAGGGCCATTGCCCTCGGATCCTGCGTTTTACCAGCAACCCGGATAGTGATCTCCCCTCTTTTCACCTCTGTCCTTTTTCTCCTCCAGAAACGTTCATGCTAATTGCCGCCAAATAGTGGTGACAATGGAAACACGCAGAAGGCACAGTTGCAATGTTCGCAAGTAGATTATTATCTTAACCAGTCCTCTAGGCTGCCTCCTGAGAGGGGTCAGATGCTGGGAAGAGGTGGTGGCGGTGGCGGTGGCCGTAGGGTGAGATAAAGGGTGTTTAGGACCCCTGGGCTCAGTCTGACTGGGAGGGCCAACCTTCTGGGCCAGATCAGGTCAGTCTCTTTCCCGCTGAGGCCGATTCCAATCTTTTCCACTAGGAATTATCAGTGTTAGATAATGCTGGTTTCTGTGTTCCATTGGATTTCACTCTTGCTTCCAGTCAAGGCCCCCAGATTAAATCTTCTCTGCATTCTGAGACTATTGGTCGTTTGAAGTTTATACCGACTGTGGGCTACCACCTGCAATGGAAATGAAGGTGGTAGTGAATCACTTCCTGTTGTGGACAGAGAGGCCTGTGCTCAGCATTCATTTCAACCTGGGTCCTCCTAGTGCAATCCTTCTGATTTGCAGAGGTAGGACGCCTAAAAACTACATTACCCAGACTTCCTTGCAGCTAGGGTTCCCTATGCAAGATCGCCGCTGCCAATTAGATTCACTGAGGCAAGATTTTTGGGGGCAGAAGTGAGGCAGAAGCTTTTGACTGTTGCTCCTGGCAAGCCTAACCCCTGGGATGTTGTGTTGTGTTGTGCTGTGTTTTGTTTTCCTAGTGTCCAATCATAAGCTCCCTGATTGTGTTGAGTGGGGATGGTGAGTCAGGGGCTTCCCGACCTTGGCATTGCAGCTGCAGTGGTATATTCTTGGAGTCACAATTGCAGTGGCAGTCTTCCAATTCCTTACTTGCCTGATTGGGTGGGAGTAACAGCTGTCTGTGGTCTAGGCCCCCATATACTCCCCAACCAATCCAGCTCCCCGCCCTTGGTACTCTATCCTCTCTTCATCAGTAAATGGTACCACTCTTTACCCAGTTGCTCAGCTAAAAACCCAGGCATTACCTTGATTCCTACCTAGCATCTTAACGGTCCTTCACATCCAATCCACTTGCAAGTCCCATTTAATTTAAATTTAATACATACCCAAATCCGGCCGCTTCTCTTCATTTCTACTGCTAACACCCTGGTCCAAGCTACATCACATTTTTCTTGAGGTCTGGTAATAGATTCCTAAGTAGTTTCCCTGCTTCCTGCCTTGCCCTGTGATAATCTGTTTTCCATACAGCTGCAGAACATTATTTTAAAATCATAAATTAGATCATTACACCCTTGCATAAAAATCCTTAAGTGGCCTTCTGTTGCATTCAAAATACATTCCCAATCTTTGGTGTGGCCCGAGAAGCCATGTAATCTTACCTTATCTCTTGCTAACAATGCTCTGTTCCTTCTGGCTTTCTTGCAGCTCCTCACATTTACGGTGATTCTTTCTCAGGGTCTTTGCATTTGGTGTCGCTTCTGCCCGGTACGGTTTTCCAGATCGTTAAGTAGCTAGTTCCCTGCTGTCATTGACTTCTTAGTGCTGTTGTTATTTCCTCAGTGGCTTTTCTCACCATTCTATGAGAGTTGTCCTCTGACCCCATCCCTGTCATACTTCTAGCATTGTTCACTGTCCAGAGCTATTTACTTGCATACTCGTTTCATTGTCAGGGTCTCCAATTAGAAAGGAACCACCTTCTGTCTTGTTTATGCCTTGTACCTCGTACACCTGTACAGAGTAGGTGCTCAATAAATATTTTTTAAAAGAGATTTTACTTATTTATTCATGAGAGACAGAGAGAGAGAGAGGCAGAGTGAGAAGCCGGCTCCTTGAAGGGAGCCGATGTGGGACTCGATCCCGGGCTCAACTGCTGAGCCACCCAGGCATCCCTCGATAAATAATTTCTGAGCTAATTAACTTATTTATGTCTCTGTCTCATTCTATGGTGTGTGTGGATTCATATGAGAACATAAAACATTTGAAGTGTGTCAATGTGAAGTAACATAATTATTATATTCTATTTTAAGCCCTTCTTCTCAGAGAGTTTCCAGCATGGGGTCTCCCCTTCCTAATACTGGGAGAAGTGAAAATACTTATTGGAGAAAGGGTGAGACTAAGAAGAAAACTTGGGAGACTGGTGTTGTGCTCCCTCCTCCACAGTCAGGAACCACTGGGTTGAGGGGAAGCAGAGGAGGATCTTTTATGACCCCCCAGGTCATGTATCTCTTTCCTCAGTTCTCCATCCTCCCCAGGCCCACGCGAGCTCCATGCCCATTGTATATCTTCTTTCCTGTTGTGTGCCCAGCCCTAGCACTGGGGTAACTGTCCCACCTGTCCATCATTTAGGGCGGTCACCTAATGTCTAAGCCTGCCCAAGGAATCAGACACAGTCTCTGCTCCTTTCTTTTTTGCCCCCAAAGACAAGCTCATAAATCCTTTTGTGTTAAGGATTTAGTTGCTAATCAGTGGTGAGAATAATAACAAGAAGTTGCAGAGCTCTTGGAGCTGTGTTCTCTGACCTGCATGGTTCCTAACTCCTGTTGAGAGAAACCAGTGTAAATGAAAGGATCCCCTGGCTTATATTGAAGCACAGATGAGGTGTGGTGTGTCCTTTCCTTTCCAATAAAAGCAAAGAGAAACCAAAGGGCACTCCAGAACCCACTTGTGCCTCGGTATAAATCACTGGGACTCTTTCCTTTAGAATGCTTTCTCTTCCCATCATTGGTGCCTGGGTAACCTAAAGTGCCTCTAATTTTCTGCCCTTCTGCTCTGTCTTGGAGCTATATCTCCTGGGTCTCTCTACTCACAGGTACTGTGGCCAGACAGAAGGTACTGGAGTTAGAACTTCCACTGCAGGGATCCCACAAGTCCTGCCAAGGAAAGTGGGAGGCTTTTGATGTGTGTCACTTATAATACATTCCTGCTGTTCCATCTGCAGACAACAGCCAAAGAGCTTTCCTAGCTACCAGAGGCAAGGGGTGGCATGTGGTTGGTTGTGGGGCCCAGGCATTCAGGTGTAAATAGCTATCAAGTAATCTAGTAAGCTTGGGTGCCCCCCTGTGGTTCTGAGTGGAATGTGTCCGATTTGCCTTAGGGAAAGGTGATCAGAGTCGTAGGGGCTTCTGTTTTCCTCCTTTCAACATCTCGTCTCACTCCAGATCTGCCGTAACAGAATCTGCACTTTTTACAGGATCTACACATTAGTGTTGGAAAGGCACCGCTCTGGCAGCCTCCAGGATGACTCTAAAAGCTCTCTTCTTCTCACTCCATAAGAAGATGCTGATGGCTAAAAGACCAAATGGCTCCCAGGTAACATTGCCTCTCCTTAGGGACTAGAGAGACAGAGTAGACCTTGCCCCACGTCCGTACTCCTGACCACTTCCTAAAGAGCTTTTCTCACACCAGCATCCTTGGTTTTCCCTTGATCTCTGGATCAACCTGTTCAAATGCAGGCAGCAGGGCTGAGTGCTGTGAGCTCTACATGACTCAGCCCTCTCCTCCCAGAGCTCATAACATTCATCTTTTAAAGCTGTTTTGGTAAAGCACACGGCATATACAGCAGATGGCCTGAGCAGTGCACTGCTCTGCTCTCCTTCCCAAGGCAAACAAACCCCCGTGGTAGAGGAAATGGCCTGATTATATAAGCACCTATTATGGGGTTACCCCAAGAGTGCTTCTCTAATTCTCTGGTTCCCCGACATTTCTACACCATGCCTCCATCAGATTGTTCTCTAAACCATCTGTCTCTAAGTTAACTGTTCTCTGGGGACCTTCAATTTTCCCCAAAGCAATGTATCTTCTTGCATCTAGGAGTCTGGATTGCATTTAGGGGCCAGCATTAAAAAGACCATTGGATTAAAAATCAGGAACCCTGGTTCTTCCTCCTGTCCCTACCAGCCCTGTGACCTCAGAACAGTCACAAATAGGTGGGTTCATACTTGCATTCCCTTCTTCCAGGGATAGATAGTATGGCTGGTAAGGTTGTGTGCCTGGAGGCTCTAGTAACTAAGGAATACTTTTGTTTTGGCAACTATGAAGTCTTTAATTTTTTTTTTTTTTTTTAGTATAAAAGATTGCTATTGCAACTTAAAAAGATAATGTCCAGGTGAAACTCTAGTGCCTTTACAATGCTCACAAAGACTGGAAGAACCTTCCAGTTCACCTTCTGGTGAACTTCAACTCCCTGGATGTGCTCCAAGAAATAGCATGTTTCAGTGTGGGGATGTTTCTAGAATCCCAAAGAATTGATTGTTGTGTGTGTGTGTGTGCAGTTGTCTGGAGCAGGGAGTGCTCCCTTCAGAGTGAAACATGGTTGCAGCTGTGTGTGAAAGTGATGAGCTTCTGTCTGATGTGTCATTTATGCTGTGTGTGTGTGTGTGTGTGTGTGTGTGTGTGTGTTTGTGTGTGGCTTAGCTCTTACTGAGTGAGAGACCTAGGTTCTGGTTTGAGTGGCCTTCAACATGTCCCTCTGGTCTTCTGGAGCCTCAGTCTACCATTTTTATTTATTTATTTATTTTTAAAGATTTGTTTATTTATTTTAGAGAGAGAGGATGCCAGCAGGAAGACAGGCAATGGAAGAGGGAGAGAGTCCCAAGCAGGCTCCCGCTGAGTGTGCGGCCAGATGACTGTGATCACAGAGCTCCATCTCAAGACCTTGAGATCATGACTTGAGCTGAAATCAAGAGTGGGACCCTTCACTGATGGAGCCACCCAGGTGCCCCCAGTCTGTTCATTTTTACATTTGGGACTTAGGCCGGTTGATTTTTAAGTTCCCTTCCAGCTGTGTCATGCTGAGCATGCAGCTGGAGTGTGAGGGTCTTTTGCTGTTGGTTTTACTGTTAAATTTTGTCCTGGGTCTCCTTGTTGCTATAGGTCAGCCCTTCCTCGTTCGTTTCTCGTTCCTCGGTCAGCCATTCCTTGGCCAGCTTTTGCACCTGTGCTGTTGTTAGGTGAAAAACTGAAAATTGGCTTTTCGGAAATTATCTTACTCAATGAAAATGCAGGAAGCTTGTGCATGAAATTCATTCGTCAAACACACACACACACACACACACACAAACCACACAGAGCAAGAAACCACAGGGCCTATCGGTTTGTCGTCATCGAGCAGACGAGAACAGAACAGTGCGAAAAGTCTAGGCTGAGAGGAAATGCACTTGAGAGAAGGGGGAACACGGCAGGGAGAGAAAGAGGGCGGGAGTAGGAGAGAGCTGTAGGGCTGGGGTGCCGGCATGGTGGGAGGATGGAAGAAGTGGCAGTGAAACAGGGCTTCCTGTACCTTCTACAGCAGCAGACTTTTGGAAAGGTAAGGGCGAGACTGTGCTGGAACTGGGCGGAGGGCCTGGGGGGGCTGCTAGAAATTCCTGGGGAGGAGGAGGAGCCCATGAATGTTTCAAAACCCTCATGGGAAGGTGAGCACTGTGCCACCCACCACGTTCCACCCAGGGCCCAATCTTCGGAGGGGGTCTTTCCTTAGCAGCCGCTCGTTTCCCCAACCAGGCCCCAAAGTGTGTGCTTTGCAGACGGCTGTTGGGCCAGTGGGGAGGGTGTAAAGGAGGTTCTGGGACTCCATTTCTTGCCTATTTGGCTCTCTGGTAACTTCTCAAGGGGGTGCTTGGGAAGGGAAGGGGAGGAGCAGCGGGGGAGATAATTTGGGATTGCAGTAGAGGTTCCCGTGTCCCTTTCTTGCTCCAGTGGGGTGAGTTTGGCCAGTGGTAAGCTGGAGCTAGGGTCTCTGTGGCCAGCTTCCTTTTCCTTCCTTGGTTGAGGAAGTCCTCTTTCCCTCAGCTGAGCCATGCCAGGGCTTCTCTGTCTCTCTCATGACCCAACCTGCCAAGGGATGAAGTAGGAAGGTTCAAGAGGGTGGGCTGAAGTTCCTGGCCTGGGGCTTCCTGTAGGACCTCGCGCAGAGCGAGGGTGGCCCTGGTGCCACCCTCTCAATCCTCCTCTGGGCTTCAGGGACCTGGGCTGGGCCTGCCTTGCATTCTGCCTCTGGGGGGCTCACTATTGTGCCCTCCTGCCTTCCGCACTCTACCTGCTGTCACTGCCTCTTCCTTGGTTGTGGGTGACAGACCTGCAATGCTTTCTAGTCGCTAAGGTCCCTGTTAATCTCTCTGACTCCCTTGGCTCTCCTGTGATCTTTGCCACTCTCCTCGTCCGAGTGCCACCCCACGGCCTTCCCCATGGTTCCTCCTCTTCCCCCTTTGGTCACCGTCTGTCCATTTCTGGGTGGCTCCCTCTGGGCACCCCACCTGCCACGCATCTGGATTCAGAAATGGCGCCGTTTCGGGGCTATGCTGTATGGAGAGTCAGACTGCGCCTTGGCCCGGCTGGAGCTCCAGGAGGCCTCGGAGAAGCCGCGACGGGGAGAGGCCGCCAGGAAGGTGATCCGCCTCAGTGACTGCCTACGCGTGACCGAGGCCGGCGGGGAGGCCAGCAGCCCCCGGGACACCAGCGCCTTCTTCCTGGAGACCAAGGAGCGTCCGTACCTGCTGGCGGCCCCTGCTGCGGAGCGCAGCGACTGGATCCAGGCCATCTGCCTCTTGGCCTTCTCTGTGAGCGCCCCCCCCGGGGGGGCAGAGAGGAGGGGGCATGGCATTGGGGGGGCGGTCTGTACTTGCAGACAGGTGCGATAAGAGCCAAGGTCAGGATGCTGGGGGCAGTTGCTTGGGGGGGGAGGCGGGGGGAGCCCCAGTCCAGAATGCAGAGACAGCAGGCTGAGTGTGCTCGGGAGGGAGGCCTGGGCTGGCCGTGGGCTTGGCGTTGGTGGCGGTCTTGAGACCCTGGCCTCTTCCTCAGGGCCAGAGGAAGGAGCTGCCGGGGCCAGCGGGGAAGGGCAGCCGCCCCCGCATGGAGGAAAATGAACTGTACAGCAGCACGGCCGCAGGTGAGGGGCTGCCTCTTCTCGGGAGGCTGTGCCGGGAGGGGCTGTGGGCCTCAGCCGCGGCTGACTCTTCCTGCCCTGTGGTTGCCCCCAGCCCTGGCCAGCCCCCTTATCAGCCTCTCTGCATCGCTTCCGGGAGGCCGAGCTGGGGGAGCCTGGCCTGCCCTGAGTGTCAGGCCTTCAGCCGTGGTTCAGGCCCTGTCCCCTGGGCCCCGCTGCGGGGAGAGGGCGAGGCTGGGGGTGGGGGGGTCGGGGTCAGCAGAGGAGCGCCCAGTGAACCCTCTGGCCTTCTCTGTCTGAGAATGGTTTTATTTCTGGGGGTTTAAGGTGTCCTGTGGCAAGGGAGCTTTCTGCTGATGAGACAGTCCCGGTTTGTGATGTCTCGCCCACCGGGCTGGGTGTGTGTGGGGGAGCAGGTGGACAGGGGTGACATTCCAGCTCCGCCTCACAGAGGGCACTGGAGGGCATCAGCGGCGGGTGGGTAGGCTGAGAGCAGGGAGGGCTGGGACGGCCACACCTGCAGCTGTGACAGGACTTGGGAGGTAGCTGGGTGGGGACAGGAGATTAGATGGAGGGGACGAAGCTGTGGCTCTGGCAAGGGGCAGGAAGGATGTGGGCACGATGTCGGGGTGCATGTGGCTAGGGCATGATGCCGCTAGGATAGGGGGTGGAGGGATCTGGCGTTTGGGGAGTGTGACCTGTCCTAGGGCAGCTCAGCCCCAGGCTGTGGGGTCACGGGCACATGGCTAACGCTTTTCCTGGAGGCCTCTGGCACCCTCATCTAGAGCAGGGCAGAGTCGAGGCAGGCCAGCTGTTTCCCATTTACCACCTTCTCCCCCTCCCCACCCTTAACAGTAGCCCCCCGCAAGGAGTTTGCCGTGACCATGAGACCCACAGAAGCCAGCGAGAGGTGCCGGCTCCGGGGATCCTATACCCTCCGGGCTGGAGAGAGTGCCCTGGAGCTGTGGAGTGGCCCTGAGCGGGGCACCCAGCTCTACCAGTGGCCCTACAGGTTCCTGAGGCGCTTTGGGCGGGACAAGGTGAGCAGGGGCCGCCGCAGGGCAGGCTGAGGGAGAGAAGAGCTGTGAGGGAAGAGCTGGCCAGGGAGAGGGCGAAGGGGCCCTCAAAAGAGGAGAGAATGGGATGAGGAAGGAAAGACAGGGATAAAAGCCAGCAGAAGGCTAAGAGCCAGGGGAAGGAGAGAGAAGGTGTGGGGTGGAGGTGTGTGGGGGAGGGGTCAGGAATGGGGGGGCATCAGGGATACTGAGGGGGTGGGAGGGGGTAGAGGGGCAGGAGAACAGCAAGAGGTGGACAGGTCAGAGGCGTAAATGGTGGCTGGTATTACTGAGGTTGACTAGGTACCAAGCTCTGTGCTTGGATGGATGGAGGGAGAAGGAAGGGTGAGGGCTTTGCTTGTTGAGGAAAGAGCCCAGAAGGAGGAGAAGCAGTTCCTGTGGAGGGAAGTCACGAGTGACAGGTTTGCGGTTGGGGGCTGGGTCCAGCAGAAGCGACCCCACCCTGCGGCCTGGCTAATCATCTCCCTCTCCCAACCACCCAGGTAACCTTTTCCTTCGAGGCGGGCCGGCGCTGCGTCTCTGGAGAGGGCAACTTTGAGTTCGAAACCCGGCAAGGCAACGAGATCTTCTTGGCCCTGGAAGAAGCCATTTCTGCCCAGAAGAACAGTGCCCCTCCCGGGCCCCAAAGCCAGCCGGCCACAGCCCCTCCGGTGCTGCCCCGGCCAGAAAGCCCCTACTCCCGGCCCCACGACTCACTGCCACCTCTGTCACCCTCCACTCCAGTGTCCACCGCCCAGCCACGGGGCCCAGAGGGGGAATATGCAGTGCCCTTTGATGCCGTGGCCCGCAACCTGGGGAAGAGCTTGCGGGGCATCCTGGCGGTCCCTCCCCAGCCCCCGGCGGACCCTCTGTATGACAGCATCGAGGAGCACCCACCCCCACGACCTGACCACATATACGATGAGCCTGAGGGATTGGCTGCCCTGTCCCTGTATGACAGCCCACAGGAGCCCCAGGGTGAGGCCTGGAGGAGGCAGGCCGCAGCTGACAGGGGCCCCAGCGGCAGCCAGCACGTCTACTCAGCGGGGCAGGACTTCTCTGCCTCTGGCTGGCCGCAAGGAACTGAATATGACAATGTCATACTTAAGAAAGGCCCAAAGTGATGCCTAAAGTGGAGGAGGTATGGATCTTATCAGATGTGGGTGCTGAAGCCTGTGGGGGCTGAAGCCTGCCTGTCCCCACTGGGGTGGGGTCAGAGGCCTATGAGAAGGAGCAAGGAGTGTGATGGAGGCACCAGGCCTCCCTTCTAGTTTCTGCTGGTTACTCCTCCTGGCTGCTGCATTCCAGGAACTTCCCTCTGTTCCTTCCGGAACCCTGGGCTTGGTCTGCCTTAGTCTGGTCTGAGGACTTGTCCCTCCCAGGGCCTGCCGTATGAGTCATCATCCTAACACAGGAAGAGTGCCTAAAAGAGACACACCCTCCTCCTACCCCTTTCTACTTCCTCTTCTTTCCCCAGCCTAAAGGAACCTTGGCATTTAGGGCAGAGGACAGAAGGATGTCAGCAGATTGCCCTGGTTCCTTGGCTTATGCATGCCTCCTGCCTCCTGGGGACAACCCTGGCTCCAGGCACCCAGGAGGATGACTGTAACTTTCTGGAGGTTTTGGATTTCTCTGTGGCATTAAACATTTCTGGAATATTTATGTGTGGCATCAGTGCTGTGGGGTGGGGATGGGGATGAATGCTTCAGTTGGCCACCATGGATACCTCCTGTCCCAGCAGCAAGATCCTCTCTGGGCCTAGGCTGGGTCCCAAGCATTTGTCCACAGAGGGACAGGGAGGTCTCTGAAAGTCAGGGCACCTTGGGAAAGACATTTAAGTCTCTCTAACCTTTTGCCAGCTTGGGGTCAATCCCAGGAAAATAGCGGGGAAGCAGGGTGTGTGTGTGAAGAACTGTACCGGAGGACGGGAAAGAGTTGGCACTTCCTGAGCCTCTTATGGACTAGAAGTGGGTCTAGACCTGTGTGGCCTTGGATCGATCCATTGCCTTCCTGAGACTTGCCTTCTTTGTCCACTGTGTAGGCTCTAAGATCCCTTCCTGCTTTGTAATTCCCCATCTGTCCTCAATACCTCATGTCCCTCTGCCCTGTACCCTCCCCTCTCATTAAAACCTGCGTTCAGTTGGTGTCAATATCATGCCACGTGGTGTCTACGCACTTCTGCTATCAGCCGATTCAGCCGGTGTCATGGAGCACTGTCAGGCTCTTGACTACCCTGGCTTCAAGATGCTGACAGCTCAGAGGGGGCTGAGACAAGGGCACAGGTGCCTGTTCCACGAGGTGGGTGCAGGTGCCACAAGAGGTAAATCAGAGTCTTGGGGGTCAGAGGAGACAACTGCTAACCGGGGGACATATGAAGAAAGACCTTCATCTGGAAGGTGGATCTCTAAGGGTGGGAAGGAATTTGATGAAGATTGAAGGAATATGTGAAGAGAGCATCGTGGGCAGAAAAATGAGCGTGAGTGGAGGTATGTATGTGCTCTGGAAAGAGTTCCACGTTCAGAGTGGGGCAAAGATGCAGCCATCTAGTTGGGAAGGCAGGCTCCAACCATATTGTGGAAGGAGGGATTCGAAGGGAAAGAGATGAGGCTTTTGAGCAGAGACTCCTAGGAGAGCTGTGTGTTGTGGGCAATAATCCCACCAGCCCTGTGGAAAAATGGGACTGGGGGTGGGATGGTTTGAGGCTGGGATGGAAGGGGAAATCCAGAAAAGACTGGATTCAAAAGATGTCAAGGTGGGGCCTGCATATCTTGGAGTTATATTGGGTATGGAACACAGAGAAATAGGGTTTCTGGAAAGATTCGGGTTTTGGGAAGAAGGTGAGCTTGGTTTCTGATGTGTAGAGGTTAAGATGGGTTTCTTGTATCCAGCTAGAAGAGTCCTAAAAACAGCTGGAAAGGGGCTCCAGAGCTCAGGAGGGAAATAAGATAGAGCCTCTCAGGTGTGTTGTGATCAAAGTTTTATCTCAAACCCGGCCTTTGCCCCCTTGCCAAGAGAAGTTGAGGCAATGGGTGAGCAGGCTAGAGGTGGAGCAGCCGGTGGGCTTCCAGGAGTCCTGCCTCTTTTGTCTGCCAACGGGCTGTTCCTGTTGCCACCCTCCAATCCCAGTCTCAGAATACACTGGAGGCAGGGAGGCCGAGGCCTCCAAGGGCTTCCGTCATTCCCTTCCGCAGGCCAGGGGCAGGAATTGGGGGGCTCCTAAGCCAGGATGCCACATGTCAAATTTCCTCTAGTGGCACTTGAGGTGGATGTCCCAGTTCATCCCAGCAGGGGGCAGTGTTAGCCTATGGAAAAGGCCACTGGGGGCTTAGCTGCTGCCAGGTGTGTGGGGGCTCGGTGGTGAAGGAAGGAACTTTCTTGTTTGCTAAAGGAACGGAGGATCACCTGAGGAATGGGCACGTCAGACCTTGCCCCTTCAGATGCTCAAGCCCCACTTGGAGGCCTGCGGACCCCGCTTCCTAGCGGTGTGGGACCCTAAGCTGAAAACTGCCCCCATCCTCCCTGCTTTCTCTCCGTGGAGATCCAGGGACTTCGGACTTCTGTTCTGATGCTGGCTTTGCTCTAAAGGGAAGTGGTAGATAGAGGCCTTAGGGAAAGGTGGTGTAAGGGCTGGAGGGCAGGGGAAGTGGAGCATTTGGGGAAGTTGGGAGGGGTAATGAAAGTCCTTGAGGCAGCTGGTAAAGCACAATGACCATGCCATGTGTCCCTCTCAGAAGACACGACCAGGTGGGTGGGTCATCCTACAGACAGCTATGTCAGTGCCAGTGCAGCCAGCCTCAACTGCACTGTGGCCTAGGACAGGACGTGGGCATCATGCTGTGGTCCCTGCCACCTAGGGGCCCCACCCGGAGTGGGGGTGGGAGGGCCTGGGGCAATGCCACAGACCCATCCCCTGCCCTCTGGAGCCTGCACACAGAGTGGCTACGCAGGAGATGTTGACTGAGTGGATTAATGATGGGGTGAGCCTTAGGGATCCATCTCAAACAGAAACACAGAGGTAAAGCCTTCCTTGAAGTGTTTCCGTGCCAGCCTGGCTGTCAGAGGCAAATTCATAGGTCAGGAAACAGACTGGTCTCCAGGGGACAGGGCAATGTAAGACCAAGTGACAGTTCTGCAGGAAAGGTTCCCTTGGCTCGAGGGTCTGCTACCTGGCAGCTGTGGATACCATGAGACGCTCTGCTGCGACCAGGACACTTAGAAACTGCTTTTACTGGCTCATCGTTATGCAGAGGTGACATCGGGGCAGGGAAGAATGGCATCACGAGTGGTGCCCAGCATAGAGATGTGTACACAGAGTCACGTAACTGCGCAGGTGCACACACAAGCACACCAGGTCATTCTTCCTGTTTCTGTTTTTCTCTCTCTTGCCCTCCTTTGTATTTTCTACTTTCGAGAACATGAATGGGGTGTGTGTGTGTGCACGTGTGTATGTGTGTGCATGTGTGTATTGGCCTGTGGTCTACCCTATGAGCCTGCTCTCAGGCTCATGGTGGGGGATCCAGGGCCCCCTGGTGGGTTCCCACCTTGATGCTTCAGAATATACCAAGGTCCAGATTATCTGGGCCTCTCTGCTCACTTAGACTCCTCCCTAATGGCTGCACTCAAGCTGTTGCTGCCACCACCTTTCAGCCGTGATGCTAACCAGCCTCCTGCCTCCTGCCTCCTAGGCACTGATTCAATTAGCCAAGGTGCCCACCTCCTGCAATGGCCATTTATAAAATCAGCTGGGGCAGCTGGAGACCTCAGGGAGGGCAGGACCGGGAATCAAGGGGGGAGATCAGTGATGACAGGGTGGTACAGGAATGGAATGGGGGAGGTTTCTGGGCAGGGGCATCTGATCTGATTAGGCATCAGACTGGTTTTCCCTGGTAGACAGCTGCACATCCCTGCCCTGCTCAGATTCCCAGCTCCCAGGCCTGTCCGATGCTGGTGAGCAAGAAGCAGGGCCCATCTGTACCTGCCCCCCCCCCCCCCCCCACTCAGGCTTGCTCCTTTCTTCCCTGCCTCTCTCTTGAGGCCACAGCCCTGATCTTGACACCAGCTCCTGGATCCCTGGGCCAGACAGAAGTAGCTGGTGAGTTCAGGAGCGGTTGTGGGTGGGGGTGTGCCAGGTTCTCAGGGATCTGATGGGGAACCGGTGTCCCAGAGCTGGGGTTAACTGATTCCAGGACCTGCCTCCCAGGGACAAGGTCAGACTTCTGCTTCCGGAGAGTGCTGGGAGGAGTGGTGTGAGCCTGAGCCCGATGAGAGGACAGTAATTGGGCTGATAACAATGCTCTTGAGTTTGTACAGCATTTTCTTATTTATAAACGGCTTTGGGGGCAATTTGGGGTAGTTGGTGAGGCACCCAGGCTGCAGCCTGATGATCTGCATTCGAATTCCGGCTCTGCTACTTGCTCGCTATATGTCTTGGGACATCTGCTCTGAGCATCTGTGTGCACATCTGTAAAATGGAGATACTAATAATACGTTTCTCAGAGGTTTGTTGTGAAGACTGAAGTGAGGGTGTAAACGCAGAGCTCCTAGAGCAGCCCCTGGCACACACAGAGCGCCCTCCAGTCTTACCCACACAGCACAGTGAAGCAGACAGGATGAGATGTCCCCATTTCATAAGGAAGGGAATAGAAGCATAGAGAAGCCCCTCCTCTCTTTGGGGGCTGAACTTGGGCTTTGCAGAAGCGGGAGGACCTGGCTGGGAAGGGCAGGTAGGATTTTGATTGGAAGGAAGAAGAGTCACAGAGAGGGGAGGAGAGCGACATCAAAGGCCTTTGAGCGCTGGGTATGTGGCTTCTCCTGAGGGGGCTCTCACTTGGGCAGAGCAGCACTGGCTGGCCCTTTTATGCCCAGAAATGGGAGAGCTTGGAAATAGGCTGCTTCATAGGCTAGAAGGCCTCTGGCTTGATATACCAGAGAGCAGAAGCCACAGGGGATTTCTCCCCCTTTAATCCTAGCCTCTGCACCCGGTCAGGGCCTGGCTGCTGGGACCCCAGGGCAGGGGCAGGCTTCTGGCTGGATAGGGGGCACCTGGTGGTCAGGCTGGCATGGCCTACCAACTGGTACCATCAAAACACAATTGTGGAGCCACTGCCTGGCAGCCAGCAGAGGGGCTGTGGGAGGGAGAGGCTGAGGAGAAGGCAGTAGAAGGGACACAGACAGCTCTGAAGGAGTTCACCATCTCTCTGAGGGACATTTGCAGATGTCCTCAGGGTGGTTCATTCTTTACCTAATTTGTTGTCGAACCCGCAGCACCTACCAAGAGGCCTGGTACAGGGAGGCACAGATAACTACTTCCTGATGGAAAGAATAAATGAAAGCCACTTTGCTTGGGGGGGAACCCAGGGGGTTCCCTATGTGTCATGGTTCATGGAATCATGGAACCCTGGGATTCCCATCCAGAAACCTAACCCCCAATGGACTCTAGGAATCCCAGCACTGGTCTTCCGGCCAGCCCTCCCTCTCCCAGCAGGCCTCTTTTCAAATGCAGAGTGAAGATGGGAGAGAGGCTTGGTCTGGACTGCAGACTGCAGGGAGGCAGGGGAGGGGGGCTGAGGGTGAGAAATGCCCTGACTCTGGTCTAGAAGAAGGGGTTGGTGGGGGCCAGCCCTCTGGTGCAGCCAAGAAACCCATCAGCCAGGCGTCC